TCTTCTTCTTCTTCTTCTTCTTCTTCTTCTTCTTCTTCTTCTTCTTCTTCTTCTTCTTCTTCTTCTTCTTCTTCTTCTTGTCCCTCCTCAACTGTAGCGCCCCCGCCGCCGCCGGACGGGCCAGCTATCACGCGCCTCCGGTGTGAATGTGATGATGAGTGCATTGTCGCCGTACGTGAATCGCGTGCGTGCAAGTGTATGTGTATGTGTGTGTGTGTGTGTGTGTGTGTGTGTAGGTGTGTGTTCGTGTGTAGGTGTGTGTGTGTCTTTGTGTCCTTGGTAGGGCGCATTCACACTGTGGACACGCACGCTCACATATGGACAGGCATGTGGAGGAGGGAAAGGCAAAGCAGAAATAGGGAGAGAGACAGGAAAGAGAAGGGCGGTAGAGCAGAGAAGAGGAAGAGCAGAGGAGAGGAAGAGCAGAGAAGAGGAAGAGCAGAGAAGAGGAAGAGCAGAGGAGGAGTACTCGCCACTTCATTTGGGAGCCTGTGGGACCAGCTAATTGATAAGAATAGGAATGGCGCGCGTTGGCCAACAACTTACGCCGCTCTCCCACTCCCCGCCCCGCCACGCCCCGCCACACATAACGCGACGGTGCGGCGCCCCGAGGTACCGCAGCAGGTACCCGCAGGTACCCGCAGGTTACCGCCTCCCACGCCACGCCGTAAATTTGAACGGGCAGGCGCGGCGGCGGGCGAGTGTGCGGGGCGGTCGGCAACTCACAACACAACACTTTGAAAATTAACATGTTCCCGGGTGCATTAATGCTATGCATATCCTGCAGTAGCAGCGGCGGCAGAAGCGGCAGCAGCCAATTTGAGAGGACGGGAAGGAGTTACCTGCTGAGTATGTGCGAAGGAGAGGCAGGTGCTAGAGAAGAAGAGGGTGCGATTGTGATTGTTAACCAAACTTCAAACTGAGTTCATATTCTGCAGTCTTTATGCTGTTTACACTCGGCCGCCATGCGACCTCTTAAACATGGAGCGTAGCTCACGCGGTTAGCACCTTAACACTTTCTTACACCTACGTGATGAGTTTGAGCCCATTGATCGCCTACGCGAAAACAACACAATTGCAGTGAGATGAAAAGTTTCTAGAATACCGCATTTTTCAGGAAGTATAGGTCCCGCGGCGGCTCTGTCCGTCCGTCGGTCCGCCAGGTCGGGCTCGAGCGCCGCGGGCCGGTCGCGTAGCACCGCGTAGCACGGTGGCTGGACACACCGTCTCCTAATTAAGTTATTCAGACCGCAGCAACAAAGATGTCCGTCGCGCGGCTAAGTCCCCCGCCGGCCCGGTCCGTGCGGCGGCCCGCCCCGCCCCGCCCCGCTGGTCGCAGGCTTTATCATCTTATTATTCCTCGTAAGCATGTTCATTAGGAAGGCCATTTTGGTACCTCAGGCCGGTTGGCCGGAGTCGCGTCGGGGCACCACTATTTACACACAGGACACACGGACACCAACAAGCGGATCGGGAATAACTCAGGGGATTCCAAGGGGATCAGAGGGAATCATGCGGGTCGGAGTGGAGCCGCCGCCGGCCGCCGCCGCTGAGCCCGTACTGCTGTTGCTGCTGCCGCCGCCGTCGCTAACTTCGGGTCTCACATTCGGACCGGACGGCCTGGGTTCCGAACACCACCAGCAGCGGGATTGTTTGATGGAGACAGAGCTTGCCTCTCCGAACCCCTCTACCTTCTTTTTCCTGGCTGACTTGACCACAGGTATTGCGAGAAGAGCACTGGAAAAACTAATGTTACCATGGTAACGTTTCATCATGTGACCAAGACCGGTAACGTTTCCTGATGCGACCTTCCCCATGCAAAAGGATAGGGCCATCACAAACTGGTTGCATCACCAAACGTTACCTGGTGTGGTCGC